ACCTTTAGTTCCACTGAAGTTCAGGCCAGTTTCTGGCTGTGAGGCTGGAACCGGATTCCTTGAGCCTACAACATTCCAAGTGCCTCCTGCAGGCTTGAACTCAGCACCTGCACTGAGACACCAGGACCACTAGATGGGGTCGGCTTGCAGCTGTTCTGAGTTCCGGGCTCAGTGGGCCGCTCTCCAGGATGGCTGCCAGCCAATTGCCCTCTCCTAGGGGATGTCTGAACCCAAATAATTCACCAGCCAGTGCAGTCCTCTGTTTCCACTGCTCTGTTTCACTGGTGCATTTCTCTCTGGAGGGCTCTGGGGTCATCAGTAGTCACCATGCATCTGAAGGTTCAAGCTGCCCTTCCTGCCCTGTGAGTCTGGGGGTCAGGAAGAAAATCCCACTTGCTACCTCCTCCTTTTCATTGAAGTCACTCTCTTCACTCTCCAATGGTCTTCATTTCTCACTTCAGTTCCTGCCTGGGTCCTGGGAATCCATTTCCCTCCTTCTTCTCCTCACACCACTATATTCCACTGTCAGGACACCAAATCTTGGAGAGGCTCTTTCTGTGCTGTTCACCACTCTGTCATCTTCACAGAGGTCTCCTTCTGAGTTCTCTTTCATTCTTCCTAACTGTTTTCTCTGGCAGCAGCACGGCTTTACATTCTTTTTGGGGGGGCGTACCAGGGATTGAACTTGGGTCCTTGCGCTTGCGCAGCAGGCGGCAAAACCACTGCGCTAAATCCCCGCCCCAGGACATCCAGTTTTCCAGTACCATGTGCAGGAAGATTGTCTTTTGTCTCCTGGTGGAGTCACAGGAGACTGAGGGACAGTGTAAGTGAGGGTCTGCCCTGGGCTGTCTCTGACCCCAGGCCTGTCTGCGACCACCATCTTGGCAACTGCAGCTTCTCAGTGAGCCTCCAGGTCAGGCTGCACAATTCCTTCTCTGTTGTTCTCTGTCCAGGGTCCAGTGGTATTTTGTTTGTTTGTTTGTTTTATTGAAACAGGTTGTGGCTCTGCAGTTCAGGCTGGCCTTGAACTTACTGTGTAGCTCAGGCTGATCTTGAGCTCACAGTGATCCACCTGCCTGCCAAATTCTGGGATTGCAGGCATGCAACACCAATAACAGCTCAGTGCCTTTTGATATCTCAATGCCTTATCATTGCAATGTAAATTTAGATTCACTGGGCCATTTTTTCATAATGTATCTGTCTGACCTGGGTCCAGGCCTCATGCTGGCCTCAGAAAGTAAGTTAGGAAATGTCTTGTCTTTGCTGAGCTTGTATAATATGACTGTCACTTGTTCCTGGAATGTTTGGTAGCATTCAGTGAAGCCATCTGATCTTAGAGATTTCTCTATTTGTACATTTTTTTCCCTTCTCTTAAATGTTGAGACAGGACCTTGCCATGTTGTCCGGGCTCGATTGGATTTTTTTTTTAATTGGATTTTTGATCTTCCTGTCAGCCTCCCCAGTAGCTGGGCTTACAGGTTTGTGCCACTGTGCCTAATCTGACCCTAGAGATTTCTGGTGCAAATGTTCTTGTTAAAGTTAATAAATTCATATTACGAAGGCTGAGGGTGTAGCTCAGTGGTAGGGCATTTGCGTAGCATGTGGGAGGCCTTGAGTTCAATCTCTCCCACCACACACACACAAATCAAATTGTGTAGCAAATACAGGGCTACTCCAATTTTGTGTTTCCTCTGGACTCACTTTCTGTTGACAGTGCAGGTCCCCTCCCCTTCTTTCTGTGTCCTTACAAAAAACTAGAGTGCCTTGCCCTGGGACGCTGTTCCCAGACACAGATGCGAGTGCTTAGTTTGTTGCCCAAACCCTAAAAGAACCTGGCGTGTTCCTGACCCAGAATTCCTTGGACCCTCATGCAGCCTCACCCTGACACCCGCTGGGTCCAGACCAGGCAAGGGTCCCTTTTCTCTTGGGGTTGGTTGTGAGGATGAGCTCAGTGCCCCAAGTTCCCCCTATGATGGGAACTGTGCTGCTTCCTGTGGAACTGCAGGGGGCCCCATCTCAGAGGGCCTGGGCCCCCCCTTTTGTGGTTTTCATGATGTTCACAGTTGTGCAACCGTCAAATATTGAATTAACACTCCAGCGCTGCTGCTAGGAGACACACACACAAACATCTTAGGAGGATTTTAGTGAACTCATTCTGTTGGTTCTGCTCTCTCCATAAAACAAAAGAGAAAACAGCCCTCCAGTGGCTGCCTGAGGCCTCGTGGCCCGCGGAACCAGGTTCCCACGGTCCCGCGCTCCAGCGGCAGGCTTGGCCCATGGCGCCCCCTGCTGGGCACAGCCCGAACCGTGGGGCAGAAAGCAGCCCGAAGGGGCTCAATTTCTTCCCAGCTCTTGCCTGTAAATGACCGGGAAAGGGAGCCCTGGTTCGGGTCACACAGAAGCCTCAGGGAGGAGGGGAACTGCAAGTAATCTGCACTCCCAGGTACCCACTGTATTCTCCTCCCCCCGGTTCAGGGTTCAGCCCCAGCTGGAGGGCACTGTCCCCCTGGCTTGCTCAGTGCCTAGTGAGGACCACCCAGGGCTCGCTGACACTCAGCAAATGCTGGCCCAGGGCAACAGTGAGGTGGGGCCTGTGACTTTTTCTTTTGTGCTGCTGGGGATGGAAGCCAGGCCCTTGGACACACCAGGCAAGTGCTACACCCACATCTACACCCTGCCCCAACATGGTTAAATATTTGACTTAGTTGATATGATTTCAGTTTTTCTGATTATGCAACTACTAGATATCCATTATAGTTACTTTGTCAAACTCAAGATAACTCCAGCACTTGGGAGGTTGAGGCAGGAGGATGGCTGTGAGTTGGAGGCCAGCCTAAACTACATAGCAAGACCTTGCCTCAAAAAAAAAAAAGGAGAGAGAGAGAACATTTTCCAATTTTCTTCTTTTCCAGGCTTTTGTCTCTGCTGCCCCTGGCTGAACTTGCGGGCCAGGACACAGCCTTCTGCCCATCCCACCTTCCTCTGAGAGCATGGTACTGTGCTGTGACCTGGGGCCTGAGGTGGTCCTGGCAGAGCTCCATACAGGGACCACTCTATGGCCCAGCTGGACCTTCTCCTGGGCCTGTATCCCCGACATTTCTTTGTCACCTGTCTGGACACCCACCTTGCTGCCTCACAGCACCTGCCTCGAGGACCTGGCTGGCTTCTCCTGCTGTGCCCAACCAGGTGCCCTGATGCCTGTGCCTGGGCCCCATTCCTGCTCCTGCTCCTGATGCCTGGCCCCCTTGCTGTCCTTGACCCCCCAAGCCCGGGGTCAAAGGGGAAGGCCATAGTCTTCCCAGAGAATGAGCGGCCTGCTGTCTTCACCCAGGAAGGTCTGTTTGGGCCCAAGTAGAAAAATTACTAAAAAAAAAAAAAAAAAGAAATGAAAATTACTGGGTTGGTTTTTTTTTGGTTTTTTTTTTTTGGTATTGGGGATTGAACTCTGGACCTTGGCCTTGCCAGGCAGGCAGTGGAACCACTGAGCTAAATCCCTGGCCCTGGCTCAGAGTTTATAATCGTTCTAACAACACAGCAGGAGCTGTGTGACCAGTCCCTTAGGAGAAAGGCTGCTGGGCCTCATAAGTGAGCCTGAACTGGGATCAACAAAGGAGAAAGGGCAGGGTCAGTTCACACACCCAGCACCACCAAGCGGCAGCACGGGCCCCCTGCCGCTTCCTACCCTCAGTGAGCAGCGGGACTGGATGGTGCAGGTCACAGGGTGTGTCCACAGGCCGAGGTGGCACCCTTGACCTTAGGCACTAACCCTAAGCTTAGCTAACTCTGGGAAACTCCCGGGGCAGGAGAAGGTCCACAGCCCACGTGAGAGCTTCGCGTAGCACCCCATGCAGGAAGAGTCCTCAGCACCCTCCCGCGGGTGTGCACTTGCTCTCACCGGTCCTCCAGGCCAAGGACACTGTCCAGCGTGGGCCCAGGGGCAGCTGCAGCACGGGCTCGGGAAGGAGGAAAATCCAGAGGAAAAGGAGGCAGCAGGCCTGCGTCAGGCACTGTAAGGGCGGGCGCCGGTGGGCCAGGCACACAGGGGTGGGCCGTGTGCTGGAACAATCCTGGGGTGGCTTCAAGAAGCTGCTGCTTCCTCATTTCAGTCAACTCCTCACAGCCCTCCGCCTGGGCCTGGGCCGGGGCCTGACATGTGGGGAGCTGGCTGCCCCTGGGCCCTGTGAGGCGAGCGTGGCCCCAGTGTCTGTGGGGTGTGACTTGGTGCTGGCCCACAGAAGTCACCCCACTTAGTCACCCATTGCCTCTCCGTCCTCACAGGCAGATGCTCCTTGCTCCCGACGGCGCTTCTGAGAAACCTCTGGGAGATGAAAACACCCAGCTGGGAATCACCTTGGGGAGCCCTCGCCCGCCCAGCCATGCAGCCTACCACACAGGGCACTGCAGGGCAGGTGGCTGCTGTCCACTGCTGGTCCCGTAGCTGCCTGGGAGCTGTGGCCACTGCCACTGCCCCGCATGGGCAGAGGGTCGTGTGCTGCAGGACACTGGCCTGGGCAGAGGTCAGAGCTCCAGCCTTGAAGGAGGGTCTGTGTGGCCCCTAAAGGGTGCTTTCCTACCAGGGGAGGTCGGAACTTCCCAGGTCGAACCGCTGTCCCGTCAGCTCGCATCATCCGCACCCACACCGCAGTCACAGCCCCATCTGCTCGCTGCTCCCAGGGCCGCGTACACACAGCCCGTGCACCCGTGCGTGTGGCAGCCACGGGCCTGCCATGCGCCCTCCTTGTCCCACGGTGTGCTGGAAACCAGCACGACACTCAGGACCACAACTGGCAGGTTTCCATGCAGCCCTGCAGAACGCCCCGTGCCACCCCTTCCCATGTGCCTGGCTCATGGTCTGCAGGGCTGAGGCTTCAGGACCCAGGCCTGCCTGGTCGGAGACTGCAGCAAGGGCCCAGTCTGCCTGAGGATGAGTGGCTGCCTCACTGCCGCCTGAGGGTATGTGGGACCGGGTATCCTTGTGGACAACTAAGCCAGAGCCAAAGTGAGAGTGACAACAAAGCTTTTACTCATGTTCTTCAGTATCCGAGCAGGGATGGAGGGAAGGGGCCGTGTCCTTCACAGTGCCCTGGGACAGAAGGCAGGGGTCTGCACCCCCCTCCCCAGGGGCCGCCTTGTTGTTCCTCAGTGTGAGTCAATGTGGAGAAAAGCAGCCCGGAGGCCCCCAGGAAGGCCAGCTCTGCCTTCGGGCACACTCCAGGGCCAGTCCTGGAAGCCGCACCCTGCCGGGGAGGGTGTCCCATGAGGCCTGTCAGGGTGTCCTCTCCCCGAACTGCGGTGGGGCGAGGCCCACTTCCCAGCTCCAGCCCAATGGGCTCTGCAGGCCGGGTGTCAGTCCCCTCAAGGGCGCCCGGGTGCTCTGGTGGAGATGGCTGAGGATGTGCCACAGCACCAGCAGCACCGCCCTCTGGTCCTCTCTGGGGGCTGCAGGATGCCATCTTGGTGGGAGCCCCTGGTCCCAGGCCCACTGTGGGGCTGCAGGAGACCTGCAGGTCAGCCCAAGCATCTGCCCACTGCCCACAGCGGCAGCCGGAGGAAGGTGGCTCAGACCAGGACAGGGCAGCCAGGGGCTCCGGTCACCGTGAGGGGAGGCCACCCCTGTTCTGCATGGGACACCAGTCCGTGTCTGGGTACAGAAGGCAGTGGACAGACCTAAACCTGGGACAGAGAAGGAATGGGGTCAGGGGTGTCCCCCTGAGGCTGGATCAGGGCCCCGTCACCACTCACTCACCGCGTGGGGTCCTGCTGCAGACTGAAGCCCGCCACATTCACCACGTTATGGGGGTTCTCAGGACCCCCATAGCTTAGAGTGACCTGGAAGAGAAGGGAGTGAAGGCTGAGGTCCAGTGTTCTTCCTCCTGTCTCTCCTACTTGCCTCAAGAGCCTCTGCCTGGAGGAGATGCCACTTGCCTCTTTACCCTGGGGAGCAGGGGAGCCCCTTTTGCAAAGAAGCCCCAGCAGATCTTCGGGCATGTGCTCCTATGCCCAGCAGGCAAAGGGATCTGCCCAAGGTCTACATGGAAATCTCAAGGCCGAGACCGCCCTGCATCTGTACCTGCTGTGAGCCCACCAGGGTGACGGCTGGCCAGTCCAGACCCTGGAGGAGAGGGGGCAAGGCGCTTGGCAGCACATCTGCTGAGCTGAAGGGAACCAGGCCTACCTGCTGCAGCACAGCGTCCGTCGGCAGCCTCTGCAGGTTCTCCAGGTGGGAGTGGAAGAGGGGGCTGTGCAGCAGCCGGGCCCCCAGCAGCCCTTCCACGATGTAGCCCACCGTGCAGTCGTCTGGAAGCCTCACCCTCTCCGCTGTGCTCATGAAGCTGCCTAGGCTGGGGGAGAGGCTGGTCAATGCCTCCTGGGCCCTCAGCTCCCAGCCCGGGCAGCAAGGTGCCCGCTCACCTGGCCCAGGGGCTCATCTTGAGGGCGAGGCCCCTGCTCAGGCAGAACCCGGCTCCACCGGTAGCAAACCAGAACTTGACTGTGGTTGCCTGGAAACGGGGGAGCACCTGTCACGGTGGCCCACTCCTGAGCTCCTCACCCCCACCCTTCATTGGACCCAAGTGTCATCAGCAGGCCGCCCCCAAGGACAGCCCGCCAGGGAGACCACCACCGCCGGCACTCACAGTCCCACCTCCCTGGACCCTCTCGGTGGCCTCGATGGGATGGTCCAGGCTGGGCCGCCCCAGGTAAACGTCCTGGTTCGGAGAGAAGGTGGACAGCAGGTGCAGCAGTGTGGTGGGGTTCACATAGTTGTCGTCGTCCACATGGCAGAACCACCTGTGGGCGGGGAGAGTCCTGTGCAAGGGCCCTCGAGGTGGCTGAAGGATCCCCCAGCATGTGCCCAGGCCCCCAGGGGATGGACAGGGTCAGCCTACTTTCGCCCAGACTCGATGAACTTGTCATATTCCACGGACATCTTGCAGCACAGTGCCTGGCGGGTGCGCACTGCAGAGCAGTTGGTGTTGATGATGTGGCTGCCTAGCCAGGTGGAGACACAGGAAGGTGAGGGTCCATGCCCAGCCTGCACCTGAGGTGGAGGCCAGCTGGTGGCTGCCCTGCCACCCCCCCCCCCGGTCCCCCTGCAGCTCTAGCTCAGCTGTCACTTAGCTGTTAGTGACTGAAGGAGATCACAGTCCCTTGCGACTGGGATGAGGAGAGACAGGTCCAAGGCAGGGCAGCCCCCACCAGGCCTGCGCGGGAGGATTCCCTGCTGGGGCTTCCTGGGGGCCTGGGAAGCCTGCGGGTGGCCTGGAATCCTGGCTTGACTGCAGGGATGGAGCCCTGGCAGAGGCAACCTGGCTCTGCCCTGCACTGGCTGTGTGACCCCGGGCCAGGGCCTCACCCTCCCTGGGCCAAGCTAACAGCTCGGAAGTGGCCCCTTTGCGGCGGGCGTGACACCGGACCCGCGAGGCCAGGGACGGGAGCCTCACCTGCCTGCCGCTGGAGCTCAGGGTCGTCCCCGTCGGTGAAGATGAACGTCTAGGGGAGAAAGGATTGTGAGGCGCCATGGGGCGCGGGCTCAGGTGGGAGCTGGGGCCTCAAGGGCGGGCGGCACCTGCGGGCGGGCGCGCGAGATCCAGGTGCGCAGCAGCAGCCCCAGGCGTGGCCCGTGGTTCTTGCGGGTGGTCTTGACCGCGATGAAGATGTCGTCGTCGGGCCGCAGGCTGGGGGAGGCGACGACCACGGCAGCGGGCAACCGGGCGGGCGCGGGCGGGCGAGGCAGCGGCAGCAGGAGGAGCGCAGCTAGGGCCGCGGCCAGCGCGAGGCAGGCCCGGCACAACGCCCCCCGCGCGCAGCTCATGCGGCCGCCGCGACCCCCAGTGACGGGCGAGGGCCTGAGCGAGCAGCGGCCCCTTTAAGCACGGCGCGCACCCCGCCCCGCCCCGCCTCGCCTCGCGCCCCGCCCCGCCTCACGCTCCGGAAGCGGTGACTGCGCTGCCCCGGAAGTAGACGTCGCGCCGCGGCGGGGTGGATGCAAGATGCCGCTGCCGGTCCAGGTGTTTAACTTGCAGGTAACGAGCTAGCGGAGGTCGCGCCCGCGCCCCCGCCGCCGCGGGACAAGGAGGGCGGGGAGGGCAGACGGCGAGGGGCGGCGCGGGCCTCCGCGCCGAGCGTGCAGCGTCCCGGGCGGAGCTCGGCCCCAACCTCCTCTCCACCCGGCGCCAACGCTCGTCGTCTCGGCGGGCGGCTGCAGTCGGGTCGCGATGCCGGGCATCCCGGGACCCAGCTCGGCCTCCTCGTCCGCCTCGGACCCGGGCAGCAGGTCAGACCTGCGGCCCGGCACGGCTGGCGACTGCGGCCTGAGCGCCAGCCTGTCGGCCTGCACGCTGTTTTCCGAGGTACCTCGGCAGCTCCCCGGCGCTCGGCCGAGGCCCCGGGCTGCCCCGAGATGGCCCTTCCTTCCCTTTCTGCCTGCGGTGGTGTGACTTTCCCCCAGTGTGGCCACCGGGGTCCTGGTGCCGCCCGTGCCTGCTGTGTGGTCTGGAGGAAACTGCATCAGAACGGGGCTCGGGATCGCATAGGAACCTTCCGGTGTCTGCTTTCTTCTTTCAGAGTTGGGCATTGAGAGGCTGGCGTGGAGCTTCTGCTCATAAGCCAGGATTCTGGGTGGGAGTTGGGACTGCTCGGGGTGGGCACACTAGGGCTACCGCTCTGGTGGGAGAGTGGTCCAACCTTGCTTTGAAAGGCCTTGGGCAGAGCTGACCTCAGGCAATGAGAGGGAGCCTGAGGTGCCGAGGTGCCAACCTGTGTTGCAGGGGGCCGTGGAGCCCATGCAGATTGACGTGGACCCACAGGAGGACCCCCAGAATGCGCCTGATGTCAACTACGTGGTGGAGAACCCCACCCTGGTATGGAACCCAGTGCGGGGACCGTGGGTGTCCTGGTCTGGCTGGGAGTCCAGGCTAGACTCCAAACTAGCCTACACCCCAGTGGACTGATGCCCCTCAGCGACCTCTCTGGTCACGTCTCTATGAGCCAGAAACCTTTGGGGTTTCCTTCATCTGCTCACATTGGGCTCTTGGCCCAGCTTGAGACCCTCACCGCTCATGTGGGGAGCCCTGCTTGTTGAATGCCACTTGAGGGCAGATCTTTTGGGGGCAGCCTATTCAATGCTGTTTCCTCCCTGCTCAGCCCAACATCCAGCGCTTACAAGTACCTGTCCCCCGCCCCTCCCAGTCCAGAGTTCTACTCCGGAGACCCCCAGCCAACCTCAGTGCTCTCTCAGCACCTGGGACAGTGGTTGTTCTGGTGCCCCCATGTCCTCACCTCCCAGGCTTGGATGAAAACTTGGCATCCTGGCGGTAACACTCAGGCCCCGGGGGCTCAGAGTGTGGGTTCCTGCCTCGCACACCCTGCCTCAACTTCTTTGCTTTCCTTGTGCCCCTACACCAGGACCTGGAGCAGTATGCGGCCAGCTATAGCGGCCTGATGCGCATTGAGCGGCTACAGTTCATTGCTGACCACTGCCCACCACTGCGGGTGGAGGCCCTAAAGATGGCCCTCTCCTTCGTGCAGAGGACCTTCAACGTGGACATGTATGAGGAGATCCACCGCAAGCTCTCAGAGGCCACCCGGTAAGGCCAGGCAGGGCCTTCTGGGAAAGTGTCCACACCTGGCTGTGGTGTGTGCCCCTTGGAACCAGCCTGGGCAGGGCCCGTCTTGCACTCTGCCATGTTCAGAATCCAGCATCACTTCGGCACATGGCAAGGAATGTACTCCCTGGTGAGAGGCCGCCATCCTGATGGCCAGGTCTTCCCTTAGGGAGCTGCAAAATGCGCCAGATGCCATCCCTGAGAGTGGTGTAGAGCCCCCACCTCTGGACACAGCCTGGGTAGAAGCCACTCGGAAGAAGGCCCTGCTGAAGCTGGAGAAGCTGGACACAGATCTGAAGAACTACAAGGGTAACTCCATCAAGGAGAGCATCAGGTGCTGGCCCGCTCAGAGCAAGGGAGGTGGGCGGCTGGGCCCGGCTGGCCCCAGTCAGCGACCACTCACTGTCATGCCTGTAGGCGTGGCCATGATGACCTGGGTGACCACTACCTGGACTGTGGGGACCTCAGCAATGCCCTGAAGTGTTACTCTCGGGCCCGAGACTACTGCACTAGCGCCAAGCACGTCATCAACATGTGCCTCAATGTCATCAAGGTGGGCCCTGTAAGGGGAGGGGGGCTGAGGAGGTGGCACCCAGGCTGTCTCACCCTGCCCACTTGGCCACCAGGTCAGTGTCTACTTGCAAAATTGGTCTCATGTGCTGAGCTACGTCAGTAAGGCTGAGTCAACCCCAGAGATTGCCGAGGTATGTATGACCCACGTCCTGCAAGACCCTGCCTTGGGGTCCACCCCAGCTTCCTTCTCCCCCAAGTCTGCCCTTGCCCCTCTTAGGCTGGGGCTGGGGACTGGGCATTGTGCTTGTCACGATGACGGTGGTGGAGGGGGGGACCTCATGTGTGTGGCCTTCTGCAGCAGCGTGGAGAACGGGATAGCCAAACCCAAGCCATCCTCACCAAGCTGAAGTGTGCCGCAGGTGAGGCGTCCCGCCATGACACATGCTGTCCTCCTAAGTCCTTGGAGCCCTGGGGCAAAACCTGGCCCTAAGTGCCAGGGAGAACAACAGCTGGGAGGCTGCAGGGTGCCCTACACGCAGCTGCTCCCCTCCACAGGTGTAGGTGGCTCCCGCTTCCGCCCAGGGCAGGCTCACCGTCGTGGGACTGGGAAGGCCCTCCTGCGTCTCTGAGCTGGGCTGTCCCTCGAGCGCATAATGGCAGCGGCGTCAGGCTGCCTTGGGCGTCTGACTTCAGAGCCGGTTCAGCATTCTCGGGGGCTGTCACTTGTACCTCACAGCTAGAATTTTTATCCCGGGGGACCAGGGATTTACCTCAGTGGTGCCACACCTGCCTTGCAAGTGCAAGATGCAGAGTTCAGTCCCCGGTACTGGGGGGCAACAAAGAATTTCTGTCCCAGGGAAGCAGCCCTGGGGGGCAGCAGAGACCAGGGGCCACCGGCTGATGAGCATCCCCTTCCCGGCCCACAAGGCGCTGGCACCTTCCCCAGGGAGGCCCAGCCTCACCCCTCTCTCTTGGGTCCCCCCTAGGCTTGGCTGAGCTGGCCGCTCGCAAGTACAAACAGGCTGCCAAGTGCTTCCTGCTGGCCTCGTTTGATCACTGCGACTTCCCTGAGGTGAGGGGGACTAGGTCTGGGAAGAGTCTGCACAGGGCCTCAGGAGGCAGCTAGAGCTCACGGGCTGGGCTTTCCATCTCCCGTGAACGGGGTCCAGCGCATTCTGAGTGTGGGATCGGGCGCCTGGCTCTCCCAGGGCGTCCTTGTGGTCCCATGCTGTTGGGCTCACCTCCTTTTTCCCCCTCAGCTGCTTTCCCCCAGCAACGTGGCTGTCTATGGTGGGCTGTGTGCTTTGGCCACCTTTGACAGGCAGGAGCTGCAGCGCAATGTCATCTCCAGCAGGTGTGTGGGGGTGGGGTGCGGTGGGGGTGAGGGCCCTCCCTCCAGCCTGGGAACCAGGGTCCTACGGGCCCTTTAGGGCAGGGGGAGCAGGCAGAGCTGTGGGCCTGAGCACCCTCCTATCTGCAGTTCCTTCAAGTTATTCCTGGAGCTGGAGCCTCAGGTGCGAGACATCATCTTCAAATTCTACGAGTCCAAGTATGCGTCCTGCTTGAAGATGCTGGACGAGATGAAGGTGGGGTGAGGGCGTGGGCACGCGGAGGCCGGCCGGGCGCCTGCCCAGGAGGCCCCTGACCTGCTCTCCTCTCCAGGACAACCTGCTCTTGGACATGTACCTGGCTCCCCACGTCAGGACCCTGTACACCCAGATTCGCAACCATGCTCTCATCCAGGTAAGTGTGGGGCAGAGGCTGGGCAGGGCGCAGGCACACGGAGGAGCGGCAGGCAGCTGGCGGCCCCTCTGCTCTGCTCTGCTCTGCAGTATTTCAGCCCTTACGTGTCGGCCGACATGCACAAGATGGCCGCAGCCTTCAACACCACGGTGGCGGCGCTGGAGGATGAGCTGACACAGCTCATCCTGGAGGGACTCATTAATGCGCGCATCGACTCGCACAGCAAGGTGGCTGGGGTGAGGCGGGAGCAAGGGGGGGCGGCGTTGCCGGGCCCTGCTGAGCCTGCTCCTGCACAGATCCTGTACGCCAGGGACGTGGATCAGCGCAGCACCACCTTTGAGAAGTCCCTGCTGATGGGCAAGGAGTTCCAGCGCCGGGCCAAGGCCATGATCCTGAGGGCAGCTGTGCTGCGCAATCAGATCCATGTCAAGGTGAGCAGCCCGAGTCGAGGGCGGCGGGGCAGCAGCTGTGCAGCCTGTGGCTAACTCCCTTCTTGTCTGCCAGTCCCCTCCCAGAGAAGGGAGCCAGGGAGAGCTGACACCGGCGAACAGCCAGTCCCGTATGAGCACCAACATGTGAGGGCTGCCTGCCAGCTCACCTCGAGAAGCGGCTCCTCTCCATGCTGCCCACAGCCACTGGATGCCAGCCTCGCCACCCCCTGGCACCTGTGTGGGGCCTGGGGAAGCAGGCGGGGTGCCTATTCGAGGCTGACACTCAGGCTCTGCCATGAACAGACTGCAGTGCCTGGCCCTGCGGGGCACACAGGCCCAAGCCCCCCCTGCCGTGCGTCACTGCCTGCCTGGCCATTAAAGAGCAGACTGACCATTGCCCGAGGCTCTGCTCCTTCCTGCTGTGATGCACCGATCCCATGAGGCTCCCTGGGCCTGGCCTTTGGGGCAGGGCCCCCTCGCTGCCACCGTGTGCCCAGCTCACTGGGGCTTCCCCTGGAGCTTGTTGGGGAGGTGGGCAGGGAGCTGAGCTCATTTTCTGGCTGGCCCAGAAGAGCAGCTTCCAGGCTTTGGGGTCCCAGTGGGGCTGTTGGCTGAGGGGCTGTTGCTCTATCGTACACATACCTTTGCAATGATTTATTGTTTTTGAAAACAGAAGTGTGAGGACAGGGCAGGCCTAGCTTGGGGCTGCCCCTAGTGCAGCACTGCAGGCCCCAGCACAGGCCAGGGAGGATGTCATGCGTCCCTTGTGTTGGATAGCAGGAGGTTCCCTGAGTAAAGGCATGTTCTTAGTGCGAAGTGTCCGGGCTTCATCAGTCCTGGGTGTGGGTGGCTCCTGCGGCCGCCTCAGGCCAGGGCGCTGCCCATGACTTCAGAGAAGGCGCCTGGTGCTCCAGACCCCACCTGTGGGGGCTCTTGCCGCCCGGGCTGCGTCCCCTTCCAGGTCAGAGACTTCTCCAGCTTGGTTTTAAAAAGCAGTCCGTGACCTGGCAGAGACAGGACAAGAGGGGATCAGGTCAGGAAGCAGGGGTGCCTGCGGGAGGTGGCAGGGCTGTGGCGCAGCCCCTCACCTGGGCAGTCCGCGGTCTCCTTGAAGGCACGCTTCTTGCAGCAGCCGCGGCACAGGTTGAACACACACCTGTTGCCCTGGCACAGGAGAGCTGGTGAGCCTCAGGCTGATGGCTGCCCAGGCCTGGGCTGGCCATCTGGGAACCTTGCCCAGATGCCCAAGGCCTGGACACAGCCCCAGAAATGGCAGCATGGCAAGGCTCTGGCCTCTGGCCCCTCCCTCCCCACCAGACTCAATCCCTGCATTCCAGGCTGGGCGGGGGTGAAAAGGCTGTTTCCTCTGGAAGATTAGACCCAAGATGAGGGGCTACCCAAGGCTATGCTCTAGTCAGGGGGCACCAGACCTGGAGCAATGCAGGGGTCCCAGGAGGGCGTCCGAGCCCATCTGTCTGGGAACTGAGGCCTGGGCAGCAGCACCTCCGCAGAAGATAACTCACCTTCGGGTTTCCGCACTGGTCACACTTGGCGTATTTTGCTAGAAAAAGGAACAAAGGTGCTGGCTGAATGAGGTGTCAGACGGGCCAGAGCAGCCAACTGCGGGTGTCATCCTGCTCCGCAAAGCTCACTGGGCAGCAGCAGCAGGCCCAGAAGGCTGGGGAGGGCAGAGGATGTGGGCTGGCCACGCCTGCTTTTCCCTTGGGCGAGGGATGGTGTGGCAGGACACAGCGGGTCCAGCTGGGCAGGGGCCCGGCAGAGACTGGCCCACCCACCCTCCACTGCTTCCCACAGCAGAAATGCCAGGAACTCAGCCCCAGGTAGCACTTTCTGTGGGGGCTGAGGGCGCAGCGGGGCAGGGAGGCACAGCCCGAGGTGTGTGGTCTGGGAACTCTTCTCCCCAAGCTCCTAAAGCTATCCGACAGCTGCTCTGGGAGTTCCTACCAGCCTGCCAGGCTGTGTGCGCTGGCTCGGATGCTGAGGGCCCCAGGACTCAGCCCTCACGCCAGTGTGAGCCTGAGGCCACGCAGAAACGCTGAGTGAACCCTGTCTGGTCTGTTTGAAAGGGGGGAGCACCCTCTTTCCACCTGATCGGACCACCTTCCCGGGTGGTGCCTCTGCCCAGCAGCCGGGCTCCTGAGACCCCAGAGTGCTCCCTCAGGGCACCTAGCACCCACTCAGGCTGCTCAGACTGCCCCGTCAGGATTGGGGTGCACACAGGGCCCCACTGATGAGACAGCCTCACTTACCTGGCCGGGGCCCTGACCTGCAGACAACCCTAGTGGGAACCAGGGCAGGACCAAGCTGACAGCCTGTGTGACAGGCCCTGCATCCGTGACACTGCAGCTAGAGACAGTGCTGGTGCTCAGACTGACGTCCCCCGGGAGGGATGTCCCCAGGTGTGTTTCTGCCTCTGAGCCTTGAGTGTTGTGGACAGAACCTGGGTGAGCATATGCTCCCAGCAAAGGGAAGTAGCAGGCCATGAAAAGGCCTCCTGGGCGGCCCTGGCAGCTCCTCCCTGGCCCTAGGGCCAGGAGCAGTGCTTACGTTTCAGAGAGGGGTCAAAGGTCTTGTGGGGGTTCCTCAGCTGCTTCTTCTGCTTGTTCTTGGACAGGCCATCCGTGCTGGCCTCCTCTTCCTCCAGGGCTCGCTTGCTGCAGCCACCACTGTTCTCCTTGCTCCCTTCCCTGGGCCTGAAGGGAAAGGGCAGTGGGCAGAGACAAGGACACCACAGAGCTGACCAGCTGGTTGCAGTCAGATGGGCTGGGGCTCAGTGAGGAGGCTGGGTGGCCAGTGTGGGCACCGGTCTCTGAGACACACGTGGGTCTCCCTGGCCCAGCCAGCTCCACTCTCGGGCCACCCAGGTGGGGCTTGAGCCAGCACAGCCCACATGGCGGAGTGAGTGGCCACACAGAGGCTGGGCCCCCGGGATGGCATCCAGAAGCTCAGGAGCCCAGGGCCTGAGCCACCAAGCCTGGGTGGGCCGTGGCCAAGAGGACAACCTGCCTCACCTCCAGGGACCCGCAGGAAGCCCCGAGGATGCAACTCATGACCCTAAAGGCAGGTGTAGCCAGGATGAAAAGGGCTTGAAGCTAAAATCTTGGGAAACTTGTCCCTGGGCAGGACGAGGAAGGACTGAGCTGAGCCACCAACACCCTGCAGCAAGGCCACGGGGCAGGCGAGGCCCCAGGCCCCACATGTGGAAGGCATCTCACCGGACACCGCCTCCTTCTCCTCCTCTCCTTTCCCTCAGGAGGAAGAATCTGGCCTTAACAATGGGTGTGCATCCCTCATGAGCTCACCCCGGCCGGACATAGGGCTGGCAGATCCAGTGGAAGAAAGGCAAGTCGCCTGCCGGCTGCGCTCCCTCCTCCTGCCTGGACATGTCCTCCTGTCAAAGCCCAAAGGCCCCATTAGAGACCTGAGCCCCAGCCCACCACACAGTGGGCTCCCGCAGCCCCACACCTGCCTGACACCGAAGCTTCAGTGCCTGGCTCACGGCGGCAATGCCCTCCAGGGTCTTCACTTTGGCGAGTTCATCTCGAAGTTGCTGGTGCACCTGCAGCCTAAGGCAAGCACCCATCCAGGAGCTGGGCCTGCTGCCCGGCTCCCAAGCCCAGGCACACAGCCAGTGTCCCTTCCTCACAGGCTCCCCATTGCTCTCACTTCCACATCAGTGACCCTTCAGCACCTGACTGGGGCAAGCTGGGCTGGGAAAACCCCAGCAGGCCCGGGGGCAGGGATACCAGGCAGTGCCTGGGCAGCTCCTCCCGTCACCACTCTGCCGGCAGGACTCACGTGTGGTGCCACAGCTTGAAGAGGTGGGCCCGGACACAGGACAGCGGGCACGGGTGCAGCCGCACAATGTCCAGGTACTCCTCTGCCAGCTCCCACACTGCAGGACTCCTGCCCTCGAACAGGGCAGGGTTGTGCAGGTTGCCCTCTGGAGGAGGAGGGATGCCATGGAGGAGAGCCGCGGGCACCCTCTTGACCACCCAGGACAGAAGAGAGCTGAGGCACCCATCTGCTCACCCGCACTCATGACCCCCTGCACGCCTGTGTCCTGGATGCACCGCTCCACATCCTGCAGGCTTCGGATGTTCCCATTGGCAAACACAGGGATGGCCACAGCCTTCCTGTCCAGAAAGAAAGGCCTGACTCTGTACCCCACCAAGGCAGTGCCAGCTGGGAGATGGCAAGTGGCACCCGAACTCCACCTTGGCAGGGCCTGTCACCTGCCATCGCACTGCTGCCTCCCACCCTGGCCCCTGCCCAGTGGTCCCCAATCCCTCCGGCTGGTCATAGAACATCAGGTGTTCTGGATGCCCCAAGGTGTGGCACTGGGTCTATGCCCTCCCCCTGCCAGAGGGACTGAAGCCCGAAGGACTGAGGGCTGCATCCCCACCCCTGCAACTGCTTACCGCACAGCCTTAATGTGCTCCCAGGACGCTGCTCCTGACAGGGGCCCCTTCTGCTCCTTGGTGCGCCCATGCACAGTCACCAGCTGGGATAGACCAGTGCTCAGCTCAACCCTGCTCTGGGCTGAGCCCCCACATCAACTCCAGGAGACCTGCTGCTCAGTTGCTCAGTTTTTTCAGCGGGGTAGAGAAAAGGCCATCCTGGGCCTGGCTCAGTCCCTGGCCCCAAAGGCCCTGGGAGCTCCACTCTTTGGGAGAAGTGAGGCTGCACCCAGGATGCCCGTCCCCAACCCCCAGGCCGGAAGGAGACAGCATCCTTGTCACCCCAGCCGAGGGGTGGTGGGGGGTGAGCTCCAGGCTGACCTGCAACTGGCAAGGCATGGGGGAGGCAGGCTGAAGCTAGCATCCCCACTGAGGCCATGCCTCAAGGTCAGAGCCACCTGTCCGCTCCCAGAAGCTAAGTGCCTAGAGGGGGCCACTGGTGGCAGAGTCCTCTCCAGGCCTACACTGGGCCAGGCCCAGTACACAGAGAACACAAAAGCCGCCAGATCTCCCAAGAACTACCTGGCCCCTTCCTAATCCTCTAGGAGGACAGATCCTGAGTTCCTTCAATGGAGGCTCTGGTTGGCGTCTGGGGCACCAGGAACACAGTGACCAGCTTAACGTCATCCCCTATGGAAACAATACCCTGCAGCCAGGATGGCAGGTCTGTCTCAGGAGTGACTCGGGCGCCTAACACAGGAAATGTCCTGGTGCCTCCCCACCCAAGGGAAGAGGAGGCATGAGCGCAAGAGTCTGCTCTGCTTTGCTGAAGCTCCACAGGAAGAGCTGGATGCTGCTGGAACCTGAGGGCCGGCTGCCTGCTCAGCCCAACACCCACACCTTCGAGCCAGGGCCCTCACCTGGCAGCCAGCCTTCTCCAGCATCTGGGCGTACCTCACGGTCTTGTCAATCTCAGAGAAGACACGGATTTTGCACGTGACAGGAACAGAGAGCTTCTCATGGGCCAGCTGAACTGGGAAGAGACAAGGCTTCTTCTGAGAACCATGATCCTGCTGCAGGTGGCTAAGCCTCCACACCCCAAGCCTATATAGACATCAGCTTTCCTGGAAAACAGGTCTGGCTGTCACCCAGGCAGGTGCCTTGCAGCTTTTTCCTTGTCCTTACAAGTTCCTGTACAGGCTGATGCCAGCTCCCAGTGATGGCAGCTGAAGAGACCCAGCTCTGTCCCCTAGGGCATGGAGGGCTGAGATGCAGCAAGATCGCTCTTCTCTCTACCGTCTTTCTAGAGGCAGGTGGCACTCTCCATAGCCACCTCTTTCTCACAGAGGCTGTTGCAGCCAGGGCCCCCAGAGTGATCGCAGGACATTGATAGCACTGTCCTGTCCTAAACCCCTGCAAGGCTGTCCCTGGGGCTCCTTCACCCCCCCACAAGGTGCATATGGCTGCTCACTCATTCTTTGGAGCAGGTCCCACTCCTCCTGTAGGAAGGCACCATAATGACCTGTGAAGGAAAAGTGTGGCCCCTGATACTGCTGTCCAGACTGCCTAAACACCCCCCAGTGTGGTCCATTGTCCTCCTGTATCCACACAGGCCACGAGCCCCCTGGCAGGCAGCCAGCCCCTTGGGACAACCAAGGACTCTACAGCCAGGCTACATTCCAAATGCCAGCCCTCACAGCAACCCCCAAAGCAGTAGTGTCTGGCTGGGGCAGGAGGACAATCATAGAGTCCAGCAGTTTACCAGCATTCCACTGGAGTGCTGTGCCACGGAGCTGCACAGAATACACCTACCACAAGGTCTAGGACCAGAAGCACCTGCCAGGGGCCCAGTGAGGAAGAAAAGCCAACCTGTCTGTAGGTGCAGTGGCGGGAATCAGGGTACAAACCTCCTCTGGGAAAGCTTATTTATCCGGGGAGGAGCTCACAGGGAAGTGATGAGCCCTGGCAGACCCTCCTGCCTGAGCCAGGAGAACCTGATTTGCAGCTCCAGTGAGAACAGCTCCCCTCCAGGGCAAGGAACACCAGCCTCTGACTGCTGTGACCAAAGACAGGGCCAGCCCTCCCCAGTGCCCACTCTGTCCCAGAGGCCTGGACAGGTGTCAACACAAGACCCTACAACTGAACTCACCCCTCTTGGCTATCATCTGTGGGCAGCCCAGGTTCAGGTCGATGGCATCACAGTAATCCTGAGCCAGGAGAGCCGCCTGGACAAACACCTCTGGGTCATTGGCACAGAACTACAGAAGACACGGGAGTCACCCACAAGCCAAGCCAGTACCTGGTCCTTCACTGCCCAGGCTGCCCAGCCCTGTGATGGGCTTCACCGTGGCCCAAGGCAGTGTGGTCCAGGGGCTCACCGCTGGTGTCCTGTCCTACCAACATTACGACAAAGCAGGTTACATAACCCTGTACATGACATACACATCTACAGGATTCCTTCTGATACATAACAGAAGGCACCAGTGCCGACTTCTAAAGAGTGGAGCTCACTGTTCTGAGAAGGGAGGGTGTGAGGGCAGTAGCTCTGAGTTCTGAGTCTGTCACCCAGACTGTCCCTTCACCAGAGGGAGATCCCAGGGAAGGGGCTGCTTTCTGGCAGCCATCCTTTGCTGCAGTGTCACTGCTAGGATTGTGGACCCCTCCCTCTCTGCAGATGTGAAAGCTGGGGGTGTGGGCCCCAGGAAGAAGGGCAGGCACTCCTCAGGGCTCAGCTGCCCTCTGGGGCAGGGGCCCTCTGCCCACCTGCACAATGAGCGGCCGGTCCTCAGGGCACACGTCGCAGTACAGGTTCTCCTTACGGTAGTTGGCATCGCGCACGAAGACCTGGGCGTGCAGCATGGGGGTGTAGCAGAGCTGTGCCCCGTGGCGACGGCTCAGGAGCCTCCAGGCCAGCTCGCTCTGGTCCACCATGGGTGCCACTACGTGGCGGGCGCCCCCCAGGGTGCGGCTCCAGAACTCGAAGCCCTGAAGCTTGGGCATGGTCTCCACACTGATGGACCGAGAGGACCAGGCTCAGCCGCCGCCACAGAGCCCAGGGTGCTGACCTGGTTTCGGGTGAGGGCACAAGGTTCAACTGCGATGGAGTGACCGCTCCTGTGAGTCCCCGCTGGGCCACACGCAAGGTCAGGAGAGGTGTCCCGCGGGTGCCTTCCCCGGGCCGCGCGTGGAGCTGACAGAGCCCTGGTGCAGCGTCAACAGTGAGCTGCGCCCCTCCTCAAAGGCAGGAGCACCGGGGGGCGGCGGCCCCCTCCCAGCTCGGCCCGAGGGCCTCCTGCCCTGGCTCCGGGCCCCGGGGCCGCGGCGCCCCCGACCGGCGGCGAGGGCTCGTCTTGGGCTCGCTTCCCGCACCCCCAGGTGCGGGACAGGCCGGGCTCGACCGGAGAGCCAGCGCAGACGGCCACGCTCCGACGAAGGAACTCGGTAGCCCCCTAGCCCCAGCCTGGCCCGCGTCGCTGCTGCAAGAAGACCCTCTGGAAGGCGGCCGCCACCCAGCGTCAGGGACCGACCACACCGCGCCACCGGAAGTTCCCGGACGGAAGCGCGCTGCCACGAATTCCGGGTGGTGCGGTGGAAGATGTGACCCCCGGAAACCACTCCCGGCGCCGAGGGGCCCGGGCCAGGAGGGAGTCGCATCAACCGCGTGGCGGGAGCCCGGTGTGCCGTTGTGGGCGGCCGCAAGACCCACGGGCAGTCGGGAGCCATGTGTTACTGTGGAAAATAGACCCCCAGCGAATTCTGCCCCACCTGTCCCTTCCCACCGGCCGACTTGTGCCCCATTTTGTCCTCGCCCACGCCGGTGTTGTTTTAAACGGTTTGGCTCCACTGATAGGAAGGTTATTTTATTATTTATGTACGTATGTAGTGTGTGTGTGTGTGTGTGTGTGTGTGTGTGTGTCTGGAATCGAACTCAGGGCTTCGCGCTTGCTATTGTGCTGCTGAGCTACTACATCCCCGGCCCTATTTTGGTTTTTTGAGATAGGGTCTCACGATACAGTCCAGGCTGGCCTTGAACTCGTGGTGATCCTCCTGCCTCAGCTCCGGAGTGCTGGGATCACAGGTGTGTGCTTCCACATCCAGCTGCTAGCCCTATTAATTTTTAAATTTTGAGATAAGGTCTTGCTAAATTGCCTAGGCTGTGAGGTGTGGTGGAGCACACCTGTAATCCTAGCACTTGGGTGGCTGGGGCAGGAGGATTGCTTCAAATTCAGGGCTACCCTGGGCTATATGGTGAGTTCAAGGTCAACCTGGGGACCGGGGATTTAGCTCAGTGGTTCCGTTGCCTCCCTCACAAGCACAGCAAGCACAAGGACCCGAGTTCGATCCCCGGTACCAAAAAAACAAAAAATCAAGGTCAACCTGGACTACGTAGGAAGGCCCTGCCTCAAAAAAAAAAAAAAAAAAAAAAAAAAATGGGGCCTGGGGATTTAGCTCAGTGGTGCTGCTGCCTGCCTCGAAAGTGCAAGGTCCCAAGTTCAAATCCCAGTACCAAAAAAAGAAAAAAGAAAATTTCCCAGGTTGGCCTTCAATTTGGAATCTTCCTGCTTCAGGACCATCACCCCCACACCCCTTGTATTCAGGGCTCACTGGGCTCCGTGAACTGGAAATACTACAAATACAGAGACCCACACCTGTCATATCAGAGTCAAACTGCTGAAACCCTTGAAATCTTGAAATCAGGAAGGGAAAAAACAGCTGATCAGAGAGAAGAAAAGGACAGTGGCAATAGCAGAGGACTTCTCAGAAACACTGGAGCCTAGAGGGCGAGGGATATTTAAAATTCTGAAAAAAAGAAACAACAAGCAATACTTCTGACCAGGCCCCGCCTCCTAACAACACCCAGAACTGCAGCACCCCCAGCAATGCAGTTGCCTTCCAGAAGCCCAGCCTGGGAGTGGGTGGGGCTGTGGGGGACTTCTGGATAGAACCCGTAACAGCCTGCCTCTGCTGTCTGACCCAGGTCTGGTTTATACTGACTGGAGCATGGCTGTGTTGTGGGAAGCTGATCTTGGGCTCCCCCTGGTGCCCTGGGACATGGCCCTGGGGAGGATGTGCATCCTCACATCCCATATAGGAGATGGGTGGAAACAGGACCACGGACTCAAAGACCCTAGGCCTGGAGGCAGAGTGAAGAAGGGAGAGGGGATGGGGAAAGTATGCAAGGGGACTGTTATGGTTTGGGTCTAGGTGTGCCCCAAAACCTCATATGGTCATAGGGCTTTTTCAGAGGTGGCTGGATTTAGAGTGTGTGATGCTAGGATTAAGGGCCTGTGATTACTAAACCAGTCCACTGATTGGTTTGGCACCACCCTTATCTGGATAGTCTAGGTAAGATAAAAGGGGCAGAAAGATGCTGTTAAGGCCCCTTATTGCTTTTGCTGCCTTCCACCACCATGAACTGTTGCCCCTCTGCCCTGTGCCACCCTTCCCTAGAGCCTGCCGATTATGAACTGAAACCTCTACAAACTGTGAGCTAAATAAACCTTTTCCCCTTTAAATTTGGGCGTCGGGTATTTTGTCTCAGCGATAAGTAACTAAGACAGGGAGTTAGGTGCGGGTCACTAGAGTTGGGGGCAAGTGCTGATCTATGTAAAGGAAGCGTCAGGCTGGGTGTGTTGGTGCATGCCTGTGATCCCAGCATGCAATAGGCTGAGACAGAAGGGTCGCCACAAGGTTGAGGCCAGGCTGAACTACATAGTGAGACTTTGCCTCAAAAAAACCAAAAAATGAAATAGAATTAAAAAGGGATTGCAAGTGGGAAGTCCCGAGTTCGATCCCCAGTACCAAAAAATAAATAAATAAATATTTACATTAATTAAATTAAGCTAAAAAGGGAGCATCAGCCCAAGAGGGGAGCGCAGGCCTCTGACAGGGGAGATGCCCCCCAGTCCTCACCTGTGGGCACCTTCTCAGCCACTTGGGCACAGCACCCTAGTGCTGATGCTTGGCCTTTGGCATTGCAGCTAGTCCAGTTATGGTTCACATGACCAGTACCACAGTCAGATCTGAGTCTGTCCCTCCTTGTTTGCTGTCCTTTTGTTCCTTCCGTCCTGCCTTCTTCTGGGATAATAAAATGGGATTGTTTTAGGCTCCCGTTTGATTTTCCCTATTGGCTTCTCAGTGATGCCTCATTTTAGTGTCCTGGGGCTGATCACATCATTCTAAGTCTCTAAAGGCCGTTTAGGGTTAACATTGTAAAACTCCATGATAGCCTTATAACGTAGTTTCCTTTAGCCCTGTGTCTGCCTTTCTGTTATTGTTGAAGGACACATCAGACCACTTGACCTACAAAGCCCACTCTGTAACAAACAAAATGGTGAGAAGAGAATAATCCTTATATTTACCCACTTATTTCTCACCCTGGTTTCTTTTTCCTTTTCTTTCTTTTCGTTTGTTTGTTTGTTTGAGACAGGGTCTCACTATGCAGTTCAGGCTGGCCTTGAACGCGTGGTGATCCTGCTCTCTCAGCAAAGTGGTGGGATTTCAACTGTGTGCCACCACGCCCAGATAACTACTGTCTTTTGACGGTGCCCTGGGTTTGAAGCCCGTTGTGCTGGGTCCCAGTCAGTTCCCTTGGGGACAGCCAAGGAGCTTCCTGACCTTGAGGAGGGACTGTCCGCTGTCCTTGCGGACTGCTTCCCCAGCAGTGCTCTGATTGGGGATGGATGGCACTGGCATCTCTGTGTGACACCGCTTTACAGGTGGGGCACTGGGCAGGGGCAGCTCCTGGTCCCCTGCACTCAGCTCTCCTGGCATGGACTCGCACCCCGCAGCAAGGCTGGAACCTTCCTGCCACACTGGGACTGAGCTGCCCCTCTGAGGCAGTGCCAGCTGCTCCTGCTCAGCCTGGAGCTTCGCAGCCCAGAGCGAGGTGGTGAGATGCAGCTGTCTGTCGGGCCTCAGGGTAGCCCTGGGCGCTCATCCTGGGGGGCACCCCCTGGGCTTGGCGGAGCCCCCTACACGCTGCCAGTTTGTGTGGCCGAGCTCCTTAGGACCCCTTGGGGAGACTGCAGAGGCCTCTCACGTGGAGAGTGCTTTTCTCCGGGAAGGTGCTTCGCTGGGGGCCGTGGGCAGGACTCCCTTCCCTCCATGGGGGTTTAATGTCCAGCGCAGCTGACTCCGTTCAGCAGGCGTGTGGGGCCTTTTGTCCTGTGGCTGCTCTGAGCAGTGTCATGCTCCAGCGTTTGCAGGGAGCCCTGGTTTTCAGTGGGCAATGGTGTTTGGAAAGTGAGATCTTGGTGCTATTCTGGACAGCGAAGTTAGAGCGAACTTCATGGTCAGGGTGGGACCAGGCCCTCCAAGGAGTCTGCGCAGGAGCTGAGACAGCTGGAGACAAAGTGGAAGAGACCCAGCCTGTGGTCCCCGAGATCCAACAAACCAACAACACCGGGCCAAGGGAGCCCAGGTATGGCGTCAGGCCCGTGGGGGTCAGGACTCTGACCCGGACTCCCAGCCTTTCCCCCAAAGGCCTTTGGCCTTTCTACATTAGATTATCTTTTTTTTTTTATGGTACCTGGGATCGAACTTGGGACCTTGTGCTTGCAAGGCAGGAGGCGGAACCATTGAGCTAAATCCCCAGTCCAGGCCTTTCTACATTAGAAGTTACGGGTGAGTAAAGTTAGCGATGCCTACCACAGGGCCTGCTGCCTGCTGCCTCCCCAGAACGTCCTGTGCGGCCTCATGGGGGCATGGGGTCACCTGTGCCACCGCCGGAGCTTGGGTGCCAGGCACGGGCCTCAGCCGAGGAGAGCGATGAGACCTTGCTGGTCCCTTACTTCCTTCTAATGAGAGGTTGACATCTTTTTATATGTTTAGAGGTCTAATTGACTTTCATGTTGTCTACATAGCTCTTCTAAAGTGGCTTGATGGAGGTATATTAACATTTTAAAACTACACTTAAGTGACAATTACATGTTTGGAGACATACATAAAACATAGATGTATATACCAGTGAAGCGCTCACAATCAAAGTAATGAAAGTATCCATTACCCCTGAAGTCTCCCTCCCCCACCTTTTTTTGG